CGGCCCCGGCGCCACGCGTGTCTCCCGTCTGTCCCGTCCTCGGCGGCTCCTGCGTGCCTGCGCCCACCCGCCCGTCGGCCCGCGACGGGCGCCCCCGCCTGTGGCCCCGCAGCGACTGCACCCGCGGACGAGCGCTCGCGCACACGTGGGGTAGGGCCGTGCGGACCTCCCTCGCCCCAGACCTTATGGGAGAGTCCCGGGAACCGGTTTCCCAGCGCGCCGGCACCCAGGGCTGCCCTCCCTGTAGGGTTCGGGCGCCGCGGGCGGGGCCGGCTTCAGGGCCGAGCGTCGCCGCCCGCTGCTGGAGGCAGACCCCGACCGTGGCCCCAGCCAACCCGGAGATGACCTTCTTCAGCCAAGTGGACACTCCTGCCCACTCCTGTTCTCGGGGTTCGCGCGGGCGCCTGGAGGGGTGGGCGTGGAGTCACTGGGAGAAGTCACTGTTTGTAGGTTTTCTCAGGTTGTCTCAGAGCTTCCCAAGGGTCGCAGGGAAGAAGGAAGCATGGCACCCCTCTCTAAGCTTAGTGTTCCTCACCTCCTGAAAGGTTTTTGTTTTTAATTTTTGTTAATATTTATTTTTGAGAGAGAAAGAGAAAGAGTGTGAGCGGGAGAGGGGCAGAGTGAGAGGGAGACCCAGAATCTGAAACAGGCTCCAGGCTCTGAGCTGTCAGCACAGATCTGGATGTGGGGCTCGAACTCACAAACCGTGAGATGATGATCTGAGCCCAACGTAGCCGCTTAACCGACTCAGCCACCCAGGCGCCCCTTGTTTTTGTTTTTAAAGTAAGCTCTACCCACCCACTCCTCACCGAAGTGGGGCCTCACCGAGGTGGGGCTGGAACTCAGGACGGGGAGATCAAAGGTCTCCACTAAGCCAGCCAGAGTCCCCTATAAAGGACTTTTGATCGCCTGCTTAATAGAGACGACTTGGAGCTCTTAAAAAGTGAATAAATAAGTGGAAAGCATTTGTGGACATAGATTTGACACATGAATGGAATTTTCTAGATAAATCTGTATGTACAGTGATTTCAAATTCTGAAGCAAGGTATATATGTACAAAACTTAGCAAATTGCCGTCACCTCTGGTAATTCATTTTATCCTCAAAAATTGCCCTTTTGTAGATAAACTTTATAAGGTAAAGCTGAATAAGATAACTGAAAGTCTGAAAACAGCTGGCTGTTTTAGAAGAATTAGAATTCAAACTATATTCTTAGCATTAAAGTTTTACGGTCCATATTACATTATTGTTATGATTTAGGCTTTATCTCTGGTTTCCCCCGACCCAAGGTCTCAGAGTCATTAAAAACACAATTTTTATTTTGTTGAACAGGGCTGTGGAAGATGTGAGCATCAGGCCAAATCTGTGGTATCTTGGAAAATCCTATCACCCTTTAGAAATTTATTTTTGAAATAAATAGCAGATGTGGTGTTGTCATTTCTCTTTTTAAAGAAAAGTGCTATACAAGAGAAAACAGTTAGCTTAGCTTTTCTTTTTATTGGAGCTTGAATAGCTGGAAGTTTGCTGCACCCAGTTTGTTAGATGGGGAAAGTCATTTGAAGTTTGAATCAATGTCAGGGGTTGTCCTGTCAGGGAGTGAAAGTGGGAAAAACCCTGGTTAGTTAGTTTCCTCGTTTCTATTTCCTCTACCCTGTCTCTACTTGTATCTGTAACGTCACCTAGACTATATGACATAGTCCTCAAATTACAAAGATGATAGTACAGGCCCTCATTTCATGGATGAGAAAACTGAGTAGCTGACATCTGCAAGTCACACAGCTCTTGAAAAGCCCACACTGGGGTCCTTGCTAGATGTTCTGTAAGCACTCTGTGCAATGTGAATTTTCCATCTGAAAGCACAGGGGAGGAAGGAGTTAATCCACACTGGTGGGAATCAACAGCCTTAGAATGGCATGCATATTATTTCAGCTGCCTGACCTCAAGATAGCTGTTAGCTGGGTCCCGAAGTATTCTCTGAGGACACAGGGAAGCCAGTGTCTTTCTGTCAAGATCCAGTAGTTAACTTTAATGCTAAAAATCCACATTTGCCGGAAAAGGCAAAACAAACCAAAACTAAAACTGAAAGAGCTTGAGTATCTAATCACAGAGGTACAGTGGAACTTTTCATACCTGTGAGAGGCTGTACCATTTGTGCTACTCCTAGTGATTGTGAGAGGGGAAACTGAGAACACTAACACCTGGTGAATAAAGTAGGCAAACAACATCCACACTTGGGCCACCATGACAGTTCCCTGCTGCCCTTCTTTGGGGGTTGAGGGGGGGTGGGGGAGGTCTTTTCAATACCTGGCCTCCCCACAGCTTAGCTACAATTACCTGGATGAGGCTTTTGCCCCTCAGAAGCAATGTGTCATGCACCTTCAAGTCAGCATTTATGTTGCTGCAAGAATTTGCTGGTCTTCATTCTGAAATTTCACATGTGGTACCATATCCTGATGATGTGCTGATTCTGGGCTTACAAAAAAACTCTACTGTGCTAGTGGAGCACAGTAGAGCTGACTTTGAACCAGACTGCCCAGCTCTGCCACTTTCCATCTTCTTCATCTGTGAAATAGGGATAGGGAGGAACTGAACTCCAAGGGTAATTGTGAAAATTATGTAAGTTAATGTATGTAAGGTGCTTAAGGTGGTGGCTGGCATAGTGTGGGTAAGCTCTTATTATCAGGGGTACTCTGGGATGGGGAAAGAGGAACAATGTGAATTTGGCACTTTCAGGGTTTTGGTTTTTTGGCTTTACCCACATCATTACTGTTGCTAAGATTCACCCCATTCCAAATAGGAAACAGAACTGAAACCTCAGGCTTCACTGGGTTCCTCCTTTTCTACATGTTTTATTGCTGTGAAAGTCAGTCACTGGAATCGTGGAATGTGCCAACATAAGGATATTTACTGGAACATCAAGGAGTCATTCACTTTGGTTTTTTACCACTTCATCTCAGAGCACTGCAGTCAAGTGTGCTGAGAAACCAAATTTCTTCCTGTGGTTCCTAGGAAGACAGAGCTCAGCCTCTGGCAACCTCTCTTTTAGTGTGGATTTAGTTGGCTCGGCCCCTCAAGAAGCTGTTGGGACCCAAAAGTCAGAAAAGCATCACAGGACATCAGTTCTGTGGCTCTTCTGGCCTTTGAGGGTCATCTCAAAGCAAAATACAAAGGTAGGAAGGGAGCCTGGGAGGGATATGTCTGCCTGATTTAGAGTCAAACATTGCTTTTAATTCTTTTCAAAAATTTTCTCTTCATACTGTGTTCCATTTGAGTTCCAGTAGTTGAATGCTGCACGAAGTTATAGGATGCAGTTAGCAAGAATAGTTAGAGGCTCAAAAAAGGTTCCTGCTGCACAATGAATAGGGATGAATTTAACTATGTGCTGTGTATGCAGACATTCAGGGGTACCCCGACTGTTGAGCACTCTTGTGTCAAAAGACTGGTGTAAATGAAAGAGCAGCTTTGCAAGGAAGAGGAAGACGAGGGGAAGCGGAAGCCAGGGAGCATTACAGTGTGGCTTTGTGAGTGTCAAGATGAAGGAACTAGGTAAGAGGAGCCATGGTATAAGTAAGTAAGGGATGGTTTAAGAGTGTTTGAACTTAGTTTGGAGAATCAAGGTATTTGAGAGGCATGGCTAGATGGTGAGATTATTGAGGCATTGTGAGCACCAAATTACTAGACAACTTTTTAAACATAGGTGATCCTGAAAAGTCTCAGTAAGTAAGCTTTTTTGTGTATGCTACTATATTGAAGATGAAGTAAAAAAAAAATCATCTAGGGTGCCTGGTTGTGTCAGTCTGTAGAGTGTGCAACTAACTTTTGATCTCGGGGTCATGAGTTCGAGCCTCACATTGGGTGTGGAGCTTACTTAAAATTTAAAAAAATAATAAAAAATCAACCAAACAGGAACGCATAAATTAGATGAAACCTCAGTGAAATTGTGCCCCCTCCCCCAATAGAAAGCCCCTTGTGAGTGCACCAGTCCCTGGCTTCTTGTTAAAGGAGCCCTCTAATAAAGTCTTTTGTAAACAGGGATCCTTTGTAAGGAACCTAGTTATGTCTCTGTTCTCCCAGTTTTTCTGGTCTGTAAATTTAAATTTTATTAAATTAGATATATAGAACAGGTACACCTAAATAAAACCTGGTGACCTTCCAGAATGTACATGAATGTTTTCTCCTGTACATACAGAGTTTTTTATGGTTCCAGGAGGTTGTCTGGAAATTGCCTTGTCCTGTGAAGATGAAAGCACGTAATTTTGTTTATTTAGTGCTACTTTTAAGGGGAAATGGGAAAACTGCATTGTGGTCTAATTTATATTTCTTCTTTTTCCTTCCTTCAGCGTGGCCCTGTTTTGGTTTGGTTTGGGGTGGGTAATTCTGTGAAATCTCAAAAACAGTATTTTCTTTTGAAATAAGTTGTTTGGAGAGAACCTTTTAATTTCTTCCTGTGCCTTTTTTTCTTTTATTCTTTTCTCAGCCATACAGTTGGTGGTTAGGCTCTGAGGTAATAATATGTTTGCTTCGTTGGGAGAAGGCCAAATCTCTGTTAATTTTTTTGTTTCCCTGAGATTGGCCTGTAAAAAGTTAGGATTTGTTTTGTTTTTTTGATAAAGTATCTTTGGAAATTACGGGATAGAGGTTACACAAACTCTCGACAAAGCGTGCCTCAGCTTTTCTTCTCCTTGCGTCTGAAATGAAAGGCGATACTGTATTTCCTCCAAGCTTAATTCATAAGCCTGCCCCTGCCTGGCATCTACAATTTTAATACTGCCTGCTTTTTGCTTGTTGCTCTTTACAGGTTCACAAACAGAATTTTGGACAGGATATTTGGTGCCAGGAACCAAGAGCCAGTCTGCTGAATTATTGTCCCGGTCGTTAGGATTGCTGCGAGTCTCTTTGAAGGTCTGTGGGTGCACCCAGTTGCCAGCCCAGGGGAGGCACACCTGGAAGCCATTTCCAAGAACTTTTGCCACAGGTGTAAAAGACTCCAGACCTGCAAAGATGCTGAAACAGATACTATCAGAGATGTACATAGATCCTGATCTGCTGGCAGAGCTCAGCGAAGAGCAGAAACAGATCCTGTTCTTCAAGATGAGGGAGGAACAGATCCGCCGATGGAAAGAAAGAGAAGCAGCAATGGAAAAAAAGGAGTCCTTGCCAGTGAAATCCAGACCAAAGAAAGGTAAACTTAGCTATGTCTCTTCTGTGAATGTGTTACTATAGTGGCCCTCGGCTTGTTTTAACATTTCACACTAGTTAGAAGCAAGCCAGGTGCAAGTTCCAATTTGGTAGGTGGACCCTAAATGTTATTGAAAATGTTATGGAGATAGTGCAGTTTATCAGTTTGAAGTGTATACTTACATGCACATACCTCCACACACATAGCAATTACCATGAACTTGTGTAGCTATAAGCAGATCTCTTACTTGAAACCAGACTGACCATAAGCTGAAGGAAAAAGTCACCTGTGCAGTTTTGGTTTGGGGGTATTAAGGAAGACTTCTCTCCCACTTAGTCACTAGTGCCTAGTATTCTACTGCCACACAAAGAGTCATTGTATCAGCATTTTTATAGCAATTATGTTTATATTTCTTATACTTTAAGAGATTTTTCTTTGAGTTATCTTTAAAAAACAAAACGTAAATACTGCTGTAGGGAAAAAGTCATACGACACATTTTTTTAAGTAATCTCTATGCGCAACATGGGGCTCAAACTCATGACCCTGACATCAGGAGTCACATGCTGTGCCAACTGAGCCAGCGAGGTGCCCCCATACTGCATATTTTTTAATGAGAGTTAATTTTTCAGATATACTTCTTCCTGACCCAAGGAGTCCCTGGTAGCTTGAGAGAGCCTTTTGAGACCATGGGGCAGGAATTCTTTGCACCTTAAGACTTAAAGCACATACACACACAGACATAGAAAAGCACACATTAACCACTTCTGTTCTTCCTCCTCCCCCGACACAAATTCTGTCATGGATGAATACCTAAGCTGTTTTAAAAAACAGTTTTCAAGGTCGCTTACAGAGGCATTCAAGGCCAATTTCTCCTCGTTTTTCATTAAGCCAGGAAAAATAAAATTTGATAAATTTTCAGGGTTTCAAAGATTGAGAAAATGAATCACACTTGGGAGTTGGTATATACAGACTCAAAATGAAGTCAGTTTAGTGACCTTACCTTACACTGCCTTTAATGAAAACCTTTACAATTAAGCCTTTATTTTTTTAAAAAAATTTTTTAATGTTTTTATTTTTTGAGAGAGAAAGAGACAGACAGACAGGCAGAACATGAGTGGGGGAGCAGCAGAGAGAGAGGGAGACACAGAATCCGAAGCAGGCTCCAGGCTCAGCTGTCTGCACAGGGCCTGACACAAGGCTGGAACTCACGAACCATGAGATCATGATCTAAGCCGAAGTCAGGCGCTTAACCAACTGAGCCATTCAGGTGCCCCGCAATTAAGCCTTTCTAATGACATCAAAGTAAATACGAGTATTTCATTTATTATCGTTGGTATCAATAACAGCTGTTTATTAAATATCTATTTTGGGGGCACCTGGGTGGCTCAGTTGGTTAAGTGGCCGACTTCAGCTCAGGTCATGATCTCGCGGTCCATGAGTTCGAGCCCCGCGTCGGGCTCTGTGCTGACAGCTTGGAGCCTGGAGCCTGCTTCCGATTCTGTGTCTCCCTCTCTCTGACCCTCCCCCGTTCATACTCTGTCCTCTGTCTGTCTCAAAAATAAATAAACGTTAAAAAAAATTTTTTTTAAACAATCTATTTTGTCAGACACTATGCAGAGCACTTTTCCTTGCATTATGCCTCATTTTCACTAAACTTTTGCAAAGTTAATATTAATTGTCTGTTTTATGGATGGAGAAACTTAGAATCAGAGATGTTAAGTAATATATGCAAAGTCATACCACCAGTAGGCACCCAGATTTATTGGATTTCACAGTGCTCTATACTACCCAAAATAGAATTTTTCCTTCAGTAAGTAACATGTCCTAATTGAAACATGACTTTCTTGTCTTTCTTAACTGGCTTATGCATCTCTCTGCATTCTTTAGTCAGAGTTTATCAGAGATAGCTGGACCTCTTTGAGCACCATGTATACTATGAACATAGCATATTGCTGTGGTGGGTGACCTTGGGACTAGTGAGTTCTTGCCCTAATGTCAGTGGCCCAGACTCTTTGTAAAACTTTGGGCCTCTCCTGTTTGCTGAAATGGTCTCCTTGTGATGACTTAAGACAATAATTTCAGTTTCTTTGCTTAAATTCTTCTTTTGCAGAGTTTGAATCTACCTTTTAGAAAATTTATATTATCTTATTAAATGGTCATTTAAAAAGTATATTAATATACACAATGAATATTCTATCAGTATTTCATGTCAAAAGTTTATTACTCCCTTAAATTTAACACTTGGAAAAATACATTTTGCACTAAATTAGTTTTCTCTTCTAGCTGCAGAAAAAGAAAAGCTTTCCCGACTTCCCCCTAAAAGACAGCACTTCTCTGTCTTTCATCTTGTTCTCTCTTTGAAGATAAAGCCACAGGTAGTACAAAGCAGTGTCATTGCTGGTCCTCTGCTGACCTGCCAAGCCCCTGGCCATTGTTAGCTGAAGCCTCACTGTGCACTTCAACTCCTAGCAGGCCTGTGCTCCCGGCCTCCCCGTTCCTGCCCCCGCACAGTTTGTACTGCACTGACTTTACTGCTGTTTTTTCTTAGCAGTTCTTAGCCAGGCTGCAGCTTTGGAAAGTGTCCTTTTCTTGGCCCTTTAAATATATCTTATGCCCCTCCCCACCTCTTTCCTTTGCACCATTATAGTTCATCACTTGGCAGCTCTTTTGCTGTCATCTTGTCATTGTTTTCTCTTTACAGTCTACCGTGGTGAGTTTTCAAAGAGTATCACTGAAAGTTTACATATTGTGTATACCAGGAACCTTTTAGAAATCTTATGGCTTGGGGTGCCTGGGTGGCTCAGTTGGTTAAGCTTCCAGCTCTTGATTTCAGCTCACGTCATGATCTCATTGTTTCGTGGGTTCAAGCCCTGCATTGTTCAAGCCCTGCACTGTTAGTGCAGAGCCTGCTTGGGATTCTCTCTCTCCCCCTCTCTCTGTTCCTTCCCCACTCATACTGTCTCTCTCAAAATAAATAAACTTAAAAAAAAAGAAGTCTTATGGCTAATGTAGAGAGGGATGAAAAACAGAAATATGGATTTAACGTAGTAATAGATCAGAAAATCATTTCAAACTGTAATGGGAAAATGTGATTCTTAGGAAAAGAATTATGTATCTTCTCTGCCTGTTGGGGGCAAATAACTAGAGGTCTAAGGCTGTGTTGTCCAGTATGATAGCCACTAGGCACATGTGGCTGTTGAGCACATGAAATGAGATTAGTCTGGACTGAGATGTGTAAGAAATGTAAATTACCAGATTTCACAGACTTGATAGGAAGAAAGTAATGTAAAATACCACATTAAAAATTTTATATTCACTATATATTGACATGATAATATCTTGGATAACATGGGTAAAATAAAATACATTAAGATTAATTTCATCTGTTTCTTTTGATCTTGTAATGGGGCTACTAGTAAATGTATGGCTACAGATGTAGCTCACATTTGGACAGCACTGCCCTAGACCATAAAAGTAGCACCACTGAGCTGATGGAGTATCAGACCCTGAGCTGGGTGCTTAAATATATTATCTTATTAAATGATCACAGCCAAGCCTGAAGCTGAATTACTGTTCACATTTTACAGGTGAGGAAAGTGAGACTGGGTTATTAACTAGCTTGCCCAGGACAACAGTGAGTTAAATGATACACCTGGGCTTGACCTGAGTCTGACTCTCCCAAAGTGGGTGCTCCTAACAAATATGCCACATGTCGAGCTTACCTGGAGCTTAAGAAGTTACTTTTGTCTGTAGGTGCCTTGCACCCTTTCGAAAACATATGCTTGCATCAGGGCCCTGCCTTTGTTGTGTGTGATTTCTTTCTGGTAACACAGACACAAGAGGCCTTCACTCAGTAGAGGGTTGCCCAGCAGTTATCTCATTGGGTCTCCAAGCAGACAGAAGCCTAAGAGGTAGGCTGGGATCTGGTTGCTGTGTGTGGTACAGGAGGGGCTATGTGTGCCCTTGAAACAGACATGGATTCATGAGACTTTATTTGCTGCATTCTCATTGCTACCAGGGGAACAAATTCCCACATGCAAAGCCTTCCCTTTTCCAGGAATGACTGTAAACCATCTGTTTGTGCCACCTTCAGGGGCACTTCATCCCCTTCCTTCACTCTGGAACTCATTTGGTGACCTCCACTGATGGATTCAGTTCTGATCTCAGTTGATTCCTCAGCCTTACCTGACTCTTGAGTTGCCACTCTGAGTCTCTCACTTGATGTCATGGGTCTCTTGCCCTCTCCATAATGGCCTCTTTTTTGCCTCTGCCTGACCCCTGGATAGCTGTACTCCCCTGAGGGTACCCCACTCTGTACTGGTGGTTTTGTAACCTTGAGGTGGGGTTGGGAGGATCACAGACAGACAACATTTTGTGCGTAGTTTCACAATGCTCACTTACTCCCTAAATCTCATTCACAGTCTCAGGGTTCACAGATTCTAGGTTAAGGTCTCTGTATTATCTCCCTGGGGCACTGCCTCTACCTTTCATGGTTAAACATCATCTATATGCCAGGGACACTCAGACCTATACTGCCAAGCCAGGCCTTTCACCTTCTTCTGTCCCCCCTACTTTCCTGGGCATAGTTCAAGCACCATGCAGTTTCTCCAGCTTCTTTTCTGTCCTTTTGTCTCTAAAATAAGCATAAAAATTTATTAAAGTTTTAAAGATGAACTTTAGTGTTAGTAATTATAGGATTATTAACCCAGTTTGACAAGTCTAGCATACAATGGGGAAAGCAATGGTCGTGAGCGATTTCAGGAAGTCCCTATAGGACTCTGCATGCACATGGGGCTAGATCTTGCTTTCTCCTGCCTTGTCCTGCTCTTCAGGGCCAGGAGGGAATGTGAAGGTGACCCCACACCCCAGCTTGACCATCAGAGCCCTGTCTACATTCATTGTCCTAGCATCCCTTTTGGTGGTTTTCTCTTTTGCTCTCAGAAGTGTTTCAGGTTGGGGGTGCCTGGGTGGCTCAGTTGGTTGAGTGTCTGACTCTTGATTT